TAATAAGCATAACCAGTTTTGACTTTGCATTTGAAATCTAGTTTTGGTGCAATGTAGAAAAAATAAATGTCAGGCATAGCATAGAAAGGGGAAATGGGGCATTATAAGAGGCCAAATGACAATTTACCCCCAAAATATCTTTGATGAACCCCTTAAAAAGTCTATTGATGTAAGGGGGATTTCCTTTTACTCTACTGTATCAAAAAGTTTGGGGTAGGGCAACCAGACTTGCAATGATCATTTTCAAGCGAAAAAATAAAAAATAGCGTTCATGAAAATGGAAGGGGGAGGACACTCCACCCCACCCCTGATTCTATGTGCCTGAATGTTATGTTCACCATGTCCACTCAAGTAGGAGAGATTTTTTAATTATATTGTATAAAAAAGAGGGGGTGTTTACAAGACTTTTAATGAACATTTTCAAACTAGAAATTGTAAAATTTACATTCAGAAAAAGGAGGGGTGAGCAACCCCCCACCCCTTCTCCGATTCTTTGAGCCTGAATATTATGTTAAATTGAGTGGAATTTTGATGCAGATGAAATAACTTTTCAGAGTTGTTTTCAATCTATTTAGTTCAATGTAGGAAAAATAAATCCTTATATTCACCTGGAAGGTCAATAAAATGGTCTGTCTTTGATAATAAATCAAAAACATTTATCTACTTCAATATACACTGTATTGAAATGTTTCCATATTTATTTGACAAATGTATCACTGTTTTAAAGTGGATTTCTAAAGAAAATAATTCCTCTTACATGTATGTATCCTATTCTCAGACGACCATGGTAACAGGCTTGAATGTACATATGTACATTATACTGGGATTCTTCTTTATTCTATATATTTGAAAAGAAATTCCCATAGACCACTGTTTATAAATAAAATTGAATGCATATTATGCGGTTGTACATATTTCAGACATGCAGAAATTTTATTTCCTTGTTATGTTTGCTACGTCTGCTTCATATTTGGACGTCCTACTGACTATAGACGCTAAAGACCAACTTACAACTTATTTGTCTGACAAGCGGGATGACTTCAGCTTTTTCCATCGTCAACTTTCCTTAGTAGTAGTAGTAATATTCCGCTATCATTTGCATATGATGTTAAAGTCTACCAAATTATTCGATACCAAAGAACATGATTACAATGTAGTTTTTAAATCGAGGCAGGGTGCTGACAGATACATGTAAGTTGATGTTACAGGGGTTTCAACAACCTCGTTTAAACTCAGCATTTCGTAAATTCAATGGTCGTATCAATGACCCTGTCAACAAATATAACCTGTAATTGTGTCAATTGTTTGGACTTTTTTCTATACTTAATTCGACAACGGAATGTCCCCTGATTTATTTATAGGGCTCACGGCAGGTGTGACAGGTCAACAGGGGATGCTTACTCTTTCTCTGCAATTTTCAGGGGTCCTTTTTTATACCCTGTTAAGGAATTGTATTATTTGTGGATATTTTAAAATTATCACTGTTTGTTATCTTCACCTTTTTTATTATTAGGAAATATATCCACAGTATGTCGTTCGCACGAGATATTATGTCATTTGCTATACATTCTACCTCATTTACACACCTTTTATGTCATCAAAAAATATACTTAAATATTACATTGCATAACTTTCCGTATTTATTTCCGAAAACTTATCTCATTCATTTTTTTTTCATTCACTTTTAAAAAAATAAAGTTGATCGTACTCAAAGCATGCTGAATACTTTGAGAGACATGTTAACCATTGAAAAGCCAGAACATCCCGCTTGTCTGTTATTTAGCAATGAATGTCTACAGTTAGTCCAGTATCCAAATACGAAACAAAAGGAAGACAGTCATAAGGGGAGATTACGTTAAGAGTTTTAACCAATAGAAGTCATTTCGCGATTTTCAGTATGTGTTGAGAACACAATAGGCTTAAAAGATAGAAATAATATACATGTAAATGTAATGCTGTTTCATTGCATTTTAATTGCGCTTTCGTCCAGTGTTGATGAAAAAGGGCATAAAGAAGAATTAAACATTGAAGTTCAAACCTTGACATCAATCACCTGTTATAAATTGTGTATCTGTTGGAAAAAGGGTCATTTTCCAACGGGGGTCAATTTTCAATAGGACACACATATAAAAATATTACCCCTAGGGTTCTTTTTCTACAAAAAATTATTTTTTTCTACGGCTGGGGGGTCATTTTTGTCGTTGAAAAATGACCCCCCGGTCATTATTCTATGGGGGTCATTATTCGTCTTTACACCGGCTGAAAAGTAACACATGAACATATTGTCGCTGGCGACATTATGTGCCTCACCCTCACTGTACATATTGTCGCCCCATAGATATTGTTGCTTAAAGATTTCTTTTGTTGTTTTTTTTTTGGTAGTTTTCTGAATGTAATCGGTGTGTGAATCACACTGACGTGTCGCGTATGCTATTTCATGCAGCGTGATGTGACGGTACATTTTGTCGTCTTGTTCATTTTGTCGCCGGCGACAATGTGTACCTACCCTCACTGCGCATATTGTCGTCCATCAAAACATGACGCATGACAATGCAAGGCAATGATCCATATAAATATGGCCAGAGAAACCAAAAACTTCAACTATGGTCATATACACTTAATTTGATCTCCGAAATATGGCCCAAGTATTGCCGACTCGGAGTTAAACAATAATAATAAATCAATCAATCCATATAAATATTACTTATCATTGCTTTGCTGTTTTTGAAAAGGTAATCTTTAAAGAATTTTCCCATATATTCCTTTGTAAAATTTTGATCGCCCATTGTGGACCTACCCTGATTTGAAGATGCTTGAATCTGCTGCGGATTAGAATTTTTTTTGACAAGCAAAAAAAATTAAATAGTCATTTGTATGTAAAGTTGTTTTACTGTATATGTTAAGTAAATTTTTTAATTATGAAATTTTACCTGTGGACTAAATTAAGAGTACATTGTATATACAAGTTAAACGAACAGAATTTACCAAAGCAGAAAAAAATCAAAACACCGGGGGGGGGGGGGGGCGGTGCTACATCTGGACCCGGGACCATAAAACTAAGACGAGCTCACTCTTAATCTTAGTCTCACTTTTCCTTTGGTAAAAGTGAGACTGAGATCAAACGTGAGCTCATCTTAGTTTTATGGCCCCGGAGCCTGTTTGGTTTTTGAGAAGATTTTTAAAGACTTTCTGTATATATTTCTATGTAAAACTTTGATAACACATTGTGGCCCCACCCTACCCCTTGATTTGAGTCATGATTTGAACTAAATTGATTTTGTTTTTATTTGTTGTTCTAAATATTCTATGAAAAAATTTGATCACCTATTGTAGCCACACCCTTCCGCCGAGGGACGTTATCTGAATAAAACTGAATCTTTACTTCATAATGAAGCTTTCACATAAGTTTCAGCTTTTCTGACACAGTGGATTCTTGAGAAGATTTTTAAAAGATTTCAATAAATTTTCACTCATTCTTAACTACTTCCCTTGAAAGAGGGCATGGTCCTTCATCTGATCAAACTTGAAACCCTTTATCCGAGGATGCTTTGTGGCAAGTTTGCTTGAAATTGACCCAGTAGTTCTTGAGAAGAAGCTAAAATTGTGAAAAGTTTATAGACAAAGGGATGGTCAGACAAAATGTGATCAGAAAAGCTCACTTGAACTTCCTGTTCATGTGATCTAAAAATGTCAACCCCAATACAATTATATCGGCACATGATTGTATTATAAGAATAATGGATTATGCAAAAAATAATTTCCAAATAACCATTACTACTGAACAAAAAATATATAAAGTATTCAATCTCAAAGTACACTAGTATATTACAAGAAAAAACAATGGCCTGATTTATCAGATATCTAAAAAATTATGGTATCTTGACATATAATATTGATGTACATCAATCCTAGACACAAGTTTCTGACCCAAAAGTTTTCTCCCTACAGCATTGCAGGTAATGCCGTCTGTCTCCCTCCGTGCGTGGTGTGTGTTTGTCTATCTCTTTTTCCTTTCTCGATTAAATATTCGTCAAAACAATATATCGACGACAATATATGCCGACATTGACTGGACGACAATATGTGCCGGTGCTTGACTGTACATTTTGTCGTCCATTATGCAGGAGGAAAATAAGGCTCGTCTCGGTACATATTGTCGCCGGCGACAATATGTACCGATGGACGACAAAATGTGCAGTGAGGGTAGGTACATATTGTCGCCGACGACAATATGTACAAAACGACAATATGTACCGTCACAACGTTACACAAGAAAATCTACATACAATGAAAAGAATGTAACTTGGGGAAAAGTTCAAATACTATAACTTTCGTTTAACAAAAACTCAAAGCAAGACGCATAAGATGAAAAATGAAGATCAAGCTGGCAGTGGATTTATCAAAAAACATAGTAAGAAAGAGAAATTAACTAGATTTGTGTATGAACAGAAAATGAATTCCTAAGAGTAAGGTCATGAAGTCGGCGAGAACGTTCTTGTCGTGCGGTGATTGACACATCATTTGTGTTCATCTCTATATTTAAAAAAAGTGTTAGAGATAGTAACTGGATGGAAAATATATGCTACAGAATAACAGATAACAGTATAAATATTGATGACTTTCCATCATTACAGATTTTACAGCGATCGTGACGTCACCTATAAATCAACCCTCGTATATCCTTAACAACTGAATTGTATTTTAAGACTTTATCAGTCTATGTTCTACAGCAGGCACGGATGGTTTGGTAGACACCCACATTCTACCCGTCTTCTATCAGCGTGACTCCTGATCCAACAGGTGCTTTTTGAAGAAATTCAAGTCGTAACTTTATAGTGCTATTTTAACTTGAGGAGTCTCTGTTTGAAGTTTATAAAACTATGTCAAAGTCACGTAAAAAAAAACAACAACCTTGGTTTCAGTGTTCAGTGCAAGCAGTTATCTTCATATTATCACGTACTTCTGACGGCAGAAACAATGCATTTTTATTCTGTAGTCAGTTGTGATTGATATTGGTTTTATTATGAATTTAATGGATGCCTTGCAATCTTTTATCCATCAACAAATACAAACAACAACAAAAGTACAACCACAATGGATATATTTACACCTGTACAAGATGTCACACGGAAGAAATAAATAACAATATTCAACAGAAAACACTTGTGATAAATCTAAGTGAAATTGTCATTTTTGGCTTGAGTGGTTGTTTAAATCTACATGTACTAACTTTGCTGATATATTGTTTCATGAGCCAAAAAAAGAGCGAAATATAAAATATAAACATTCTACAATAATATCTACCTTTACAGAGGATACATATATGTAGGTATATACTGAAAATATACAGTGTAAGTATGTCATTTCAATACATTCTAGTTTATGAAACATAACAAACACTTGCAGTCATACTAATATTAATACTTATATTTATATTATTTGTATGATATATATGTTTTGGATTAACACATCTCTAATGTTTTCCAGTGTTTACATTTGCTTTTAATCATATTCTATTGTTCACATTACTTATTCTTGATATCATCTATATTTAAGCTATTATTAAGCTACTGACAATTTTGGTGTAAACTAACGAGAAATACAAAATATAAAAAAAATGAGCCTGTATGATATACATGTACATGTAATGGTGAGTCAATTAAAGATGAACACTTTATGGGATTCTTGGCATTTCTTTCCAAACAGATGCTGCTATTTATACACATACCTCCTAGCAAGTCTATTCGAACAAGTGACACGATTTTTACATCATCCCTGATATTTGCGTACTAAATGGTCATCTCATTTCTCTTATATGTACCCTTTTTGAAGTAATAACACACCTGAATGGTTGATTACGATTTCATATTCTGCTCCTCGCCGATTACAACTGCTACTACAATATTCAGAAGTTTGACCCATGACGTTTTCATGAGGGGTGTGCATTCACCTTCTAAAACTTCCTCTAGCCAAGACGGTACAACTTCGGTCAGCCACTGAAAAGTAAAAATATGTATTTTTACCTCTCTTTTTTTTTTTTTTACCTTTATACAAACTCTGGTAAGATAACAAATACTTACTATACTTAAAAAGAAAGAATTCTTGTAAACTGTAACAAGTAGGACCTCCATACAAACTTAACCCTTGTTAATTGTAATAGTAATGAGAAATTCATAAACTTACTTATTCACTTTAAAAGCTCAAAATCCTCTGAGAAAATTGTTTAGTGCAATAAAATGATAGTGTACATGTACTTACTTTAAATTCCCTAGAGCCCACGCCTCGTCCAATATGACTGATCGCTGTCTTCTTCACAAGTTCTACCAGAAGTTCAGCGTCGTGCAGGTTGTCGATATAAGAGGCCAAAGCATACATCACGGACATACCATGTGCTGGGAGTTTGGGGTGTTGAGCTATTTTCTCCAAAGAATTGCCCTTGAACTGTGGAAACATGTCCATTGCCGAGGGATATAATGTGAACAATCTAGCAAAAAGAAGGAAAATGAAGCATTTCAGAACATACCAATGCATCTGCCTCGATAGAAAATAAGCATATAAAGCTATAACACCTCGCAGTCAAGACTGATCAATCAATTGGTTTAATCTTTTTTTTTTAATTTCTAAAAAATATTCTTTGTCTAACATAAAGGTATGTATATTTTGATTTCTTTTTCTTTCCAAATATATTTTGAATCGATTTGTCAATTTAAAAAAAACGCACGTAACAAACAGTTTGACGCCATTTTCTTTCCTGTGTTCTTTCCGGTAGATCATGCTCCAACTATCCTCAACAGCACATACTTCCGCTTCCGTTAATCCTGTGTCCGGGTCCTTAGTGTTATTATTTTCCGTCATTTTATTAGGCTACCAATAAAAAAAAAATATCAACACATCATGATGGTTGCAATTAAATTCGAAGTTGTGGTTTTAATATCCGTTCATCACCTAAGATGAAAGAGAGCAATGTATTAATGGACTGGCATACGTGTATCAGGTATTGTCAATTTAAAACAAAATCTGTCCATCGGAGTGAAATTGTAAGAGCGATATCACAGATGAATATGTAGACATTGTTTACTGTAGAGCTGCCTCTAATGCCAATATAAGCAATGTTTTTTGCATCAGATCTTGACACAAAATCTCAAATACATGTATGTTAAGGGTGCGGATCAATATCATAACTGCAGTAAAGAATGCTAATCGTGAACAAGGGCACCTGGAACCATAAGAGGTTGATCAGGTATTAAGGAGGAGAAAGCAAGACCAGATGTTTTAAATATTGTGAAATTACTAAATTTTTGTATGGGGTAGAAACCTAGGAATTAATGTCCTCACAAAATGGTTAAATGGTTATCTAAATACTTCTGCACTTTTTTTTAAATCAAGAAATCAAATTCCAACAAAACAATTTAGTCCTCTAGCCATAAAAATTGACCAAACAGCAAAAAGTTATTTTACACTACAGTTCTTTCTTTTTTCTTTTTCTTGTTATTTTTTGATAAACGATATCAATTCTTTCAGAACGGAATGGTCATCCCAGACAAGGTTATAAAAACAATGCTTCAGATATCCGCATTTCGATGCATTTTGCAGGAAAAATACGTAAAGGAAGAAAATTATTTACAGTAAATTTAAAAAAATTAAAAAAAAAAAAAAAAATCCAAAATACACAAGTCTGCTAAAATCCACCATGCTGTAGAAATCTATTATTCTGGTGAATAAAATAAAGTAATAAATAAATATACAGTGCAGTAATAGAGGAAAATGGAAAATCAGATTGGTTCCAGGTAAAAATTGGGGCGAGACCGAGTCCTATGATGTCCATGCTCCTTTTCTCCGTGGGACAGATAGGATGATGAAGAAAACAACAGCCAAGGTTAAACGAGGAATCGAATGGAATTTTACTTCATCGCTTTTCATCTAATATCTAGATTTCATTTTAGATTTCAACATCTGGTTGAAAAGACCATGAATTTAACATAAAATTTACTCTGGATTATTATGATAATATCTTAACAAAGCTTTAAGAATGGGTAAACAAGTATTGTGTATAATTGTAAACCAGGAGATGGGGTGTAATGATAAAGAAATGAATAAACATTCGAAATTATCAAAACAGTCTAAGGGATACGGTTAACTGAAAAAAAAAATAAAGTCACGTGATGCAAATTAAGGGGACCAAACGTGACTTAAGACAGGTTAATACCAATTAGATAGCAATAGGAAATATACATGTGATGATATTGATTTCATTTCGAATTCTTTCACGAAACGTCTTATCTTTGAATTTTATTGGTTTAAATCTACATATTGTTTATATTTTAAAGGAATAATACAGAAAATGTTTGGAAGCCATTAACAAGCAACAGGTACCAAAAAATAGGTTTTACATTTATATGACCACTTCGAAAGGTGAAAGCATGCAGTTCTTCCTCGACAAAAAGAAAAAAAATCTGAACATTGGAAACCTATTTTGTAGTTACCTTAGGCAATTTTGTTTAACATCAATTTTGTTCTGAAAGCTATTATTAAATTGCAATCCTTCACAAAAACTGTTGACATTAGTATATTATTACAGGAATATAACACTCCAGAGAAGGAACTATGAGACCTAGATTTCGGACATTTGTACCTGAACATCATTATGTATGCGTAGTAGGTGACTACCCTTAATGGAGGTGGGAAATATTTACATTGTTATTCAAAAAAATGGCCCTAATGTAAACAATCTCTCAAATAAATATACATCTGTAGATAAATGCAGATAAATAATCGATTAAGAATAACATTGGTTTGAAAAAATTGTTAGATTCCCAAATAAATTGTTCTTAGTTTGTGAATTAATGAAGGCAAATTTGTGTGTACTACTGAAACTCAAGAGCTGCTCGTCTCTTCCTTTTCGACTATCTAACAATTATATCTTATTTAAAGGGTTCTTTGCCGAAAAATGAAGCATTAGTATGCATGAGGCATCAGGAAGCAAAGCTTAACTAAATAGGGAAATTCTCGCTCAAGATTAAACGGATATCCTGAAAAGTCAAGTTTTAGTAGTTACAATAAAACTAAACCAGTCGTTGATGAATTCAAATGTACCCCACCCCAGTTTCTCCTGCATCCCAGTTGTAAAACACAGGCTTTTTTAATGAAGGTTCCATTCAAAAGGCTTTAAACAGAGCAACTCAATAAACAATTTACTTATGATAAATTATTCATTTCCATTTGTTATCATCGATTTACTTGCATCAACGTAGGAAAACATAAACTATCTGATTGAAATATTAATTAATTACCGACGTCACACCTACCTTCATTATTAAACTGAGAAAGAAATGTAGTGAAAATTCAGAATCCGCTCTATTTCATATAAAGTATTGCGTGGGAAAATCCCTAGAAGTCCCTTTTTTTTGCTTGATTTTTTTTTTTTTTGAACACAGAAGTCGCGCCCTTTATTTTTGAATGATTGATAATATTTAGTCATATGATGGAACACTCCTGTAGTATTTTTATTTCAGAATTTCTCACACACAACTTTAAAAACTTCTCATCCAAAAGATTATCACTGTCCACCATTTTTATTATTATATACATGTATATCAAGCTGTTGGTAGGGAGAACTTATTTCAACGAACATATGATTAGTTTTTCTGCCGTTTTACCATTTAAAACACATGGTCAGAGATCTGTATTTGTGTAGGATTGTGTAAGACTTTCTTCCATATCCAATTTACAAGGTGTTAAGCGCTCCTTCCTTATAATAATATAAATACAATATTCATTATGCCTAGTTAAAGAAAATGATTTTGTTCTGCTTTTTTCCTCCAATTAAAAGTTTTATTGACATTGTGATTTAATTTAAAATTTACGATAAAATAAATTTCCTTCTCAAACAAATTATATAATAGTGTGTTATTTTTTCAAAAGAATTAAAAGCATGTTTAAAAAATAATTTTGATAAACATTGATATCAACCGATGAACCGATCTAAGATAACACAATACCCATAATCCTTATTATTATGGAATATTTTGTCCCAAAATTTGATTTTACTCGCTTCCTGATGTGACGAAGTAAATTCAAACATTCATATCACCTAGATACTGAAAAATGTATGACTAACTATGCAATGTACATTAGGTTAAAAACGTTGTACAAGAAACTCAACCTTTTCCAATCCCTGGGCGGACAGTTTTTAATTTGTGTTGATAAGATTTAACAGATTAAGATATTATGCAATATGTGCTTCCTTTATGTGCATTTCAAGTCCCCCACTAAGCCCCCTGTGCAATAGAGTAATGTAATGGAGAAATGTCGCTTTGCTTTATTCCACGTAAGATGAAAAAAGAATTAATTGAGAAACAATGTCTTCAGCGATAGCGAATTCCTAGGGTGTTCTATTCAACATGTATATATTTGAACTTTCATCTGTAAAATATAACTCTCGACTCTAGCGTTCGATTGATATTTTTTTCATTCTCATTCTTAATGTCAAATTAAATAAATGTAATATACAGGTCAACATATGAATTTAACAACCCTACTGATTTGTGTGTTCTTATACTAGTATTTTGACAAATCATTCACACGATTTTCAAAATTTGCTTAGAGCTTAGTTTATAATAAAACACCGGTAAATATTTATGAAATGTTTATAAACATTTTTTTAATTTCTACTTTGTGAGAATGTTTACGTCTGTACATTCTTAAGTGACTGTTGATTTATTTACTTCGTGGTCAGTACACACGCACACCTGTGACCCATTAGACCACTGGACAATGACCATTGTAAACTAACATTCTTCCTCCGTCTCTATTAAAATTCTCCTGAGCTGAAACTTTTTATTGTGTGTAAAATTGAAAGCGCTGTCGGGGAAAATTCTTCTCTTCTTTCATTGAGGTTAAACGATCTTCTTATGACATTAGAAATAGTAAAATGAGGTTCTTGAAGAACCGTCTCCCACAAAGAAAACATGTCAAATCAAAATAATACCCATTTATTTACACAAAGCTCTCAAATAGAGATTAATGGAGTGTTTTTATTAAAATTCAAGATTCAAATTAAAGAAAATATTTCATTTCTTCTACTGCAATTGTTCTACATTTTTCCTAGCAACCGTGTCGACGCAGAGTATGTGCAAATGGGTGAAGTATAAATATCGAAATATGTCCGTCTATTACTGAGGATGAGGTTCGTTACAACATCTACAATGCAGAAAAAATTTACCAGAGTCTCAAATGGCCTCTGGTGTCAATGTCTTGGAAATCTATAAACGCAATATAAAATGTTGTACATTGTTAAAATTCTATTATTACAAACATTTAGGGCTGCAATATATGAAGACGATTAAATTTCATAGTTTCATCTCACACCTCAAAGAGAATCATGTAGAATCGGTCGCACCACTATGATTTATCTCTTCATATCTCTATTGAAAGTTAAACCTTTTTCTTTAGGGGAAAGTTATTTTGTTAATTAGTGTTTCATTATTAGTGTTTTGTTTTAAAAAACGGTAACTCGTACATGGCATTGAGAGAGAGAGAGAGAGAGAGAATGTGTTGTGTTAATGTATTACATTCTTACTATAACTTTTAAGTAATTTTCGAAGACAGAACGATGATACTCTGAGCAATAGAAATTTTAATTAAGCTTTTAAATCGATAAGATATTTTATTCTTCCCAGACAAATGTATTTAACCAAAAAGCTAGCTATAGAGCCCTGCGATCGGATAGAAGAAAATATGCATGAATTTGGTAAATGTATATGCTACGATCGAGAATAGTGAGATATTTACAAACTTTCTCTCTGTAAACATCTGACCTGTACATGTTATTTGGGTTTTCCTTTGCCGCAGTTTGCGACATTATT